CCCACAACTCATCTGGTCTTCGCTCATTAGTGTTCAAGGCCTCAAACCTGTTCCTGAGATGATTCTGAAATTCAGGTGGTATGAAATCAAAGTCATATAAGTGCAAATTACAGTCTCTGAAAACATGCTCAAGGGTTGACTAGGAGTTAGTCCAATTCCATGGCAATGATTTTTATTACTTTCAAGGAGCAAAACTAACTAGTTTTAGAATTCTGAGAACCCATACTTCAATTATTAACAAAAATAATCCTGCTTGAAATATGTATTAATTTATTCAACAAATATGGTAGCAGAGGCTGTGCTGCAATCCCAAAGGCACACAGTTTGAATCCACCAGCTGCTCCTCGAGGACGGACAATCTCCTCCCGTGCAATTAACTGCCTCTGAAAACCCACTGGAAGATTAGCCATGGGTCGGTTCTGACTTAACGGCACACAACAACAACGTGTCTATATGGACATATGAAAACAGGAGATAGATGTGTATATGCAGGCCCAGAAAAACAGAAATGTAAAGACAGAAAGCAGATGTCCCCGTGTCAATTTTATAACACTGGTTACTTCGGCTGAGTAAGTTTATTAACACGCTTGCTTTCTTGTATTTTCCAGTTTTACAGTAGTGACCACGATGTTTTCTAATTAAACCACCCGCACAGTCTCTGCATTTAACTGTTTCACATTGTGGGGGTGCACACCCCATGTATCTCTGGGCGACCACAGCCACGTGCGGGGCGGGGCTCACCTTTGGCCATGTACTCAGTGATGATGTAGATGGGCTCCTCCTTGGTGACCACGGCATAGAGCCGCACCAGCTTGTCATGCTGCAGAGTCTTCATGAGGTTGGCCTCCTCCATGAAGGCCTGCACAGACATGGTGCCAGGCTTCAGGGTCTTCACGGCCACCTTAGTGCTGTTATTGTAGTAACCTGAGGAGGGGAAAGGCAGGGCCTGATTCCTCACAGAATGGCATCGAAAACCTCCCTTTGTAGATACAGTGTTAGGAGAACACTTCTAGATAGAAATAGAGAAAATTTCTAGGAAGGAAAAAAAATCAAACAGCTCTATGTAAGCGTTCAGGAGCCCTGGCATGGTGTGTTATACAGTGGGCTACTAATCAAGGGTCAGTGGTTCAAATTCACCAGCCCTTCTGTGGAGGAAGGTTGGGAAGTCACCTCCCATAAATATTTAAAGTCTTGGGAATCCTGTGGAAAGCCACCCTGAGTCAGGATTCACTTCAGGACGGAGGGTTTGGTGTGATTTCCAAACAATGTTAATATCTAGGCAGCATAACATTTCCATAAGTATCCAAAATTATTTCAAAGTAGAAAGATTTTTTTAATGTTATCAATCAAAACTTCTATGAACAATTGTATGAAAAATCCAATATGATTTATAAACCTTTACTCAAATAATAATAAAAAAAATTTAAAAGCTAAGGAAAGGCTTACATTCAGGATCAATCCTGGAGTGCTATTAGGGAAAGGAAGGGAAGGAGAGAGGAGGAAAAAATCAATAAGCAGGTAAGTTGTAGGAAGGGAAAGGCAAGTCACAATAAGAGGCTGATTAGAAACAGTAATTAACTAATTACATTACTCAATGCTAAGTAATGGTACAGAACAAAACTTATATGAATGGTTGACTGAAAAACCAATGCAATTTAAAAATCTTCATGCAAATAAAAAAATTAGACCTTTTAAAAAATCCTACTTATATTCCATAATTGGGTCTAGAATTTTTTCTCATTAAAGAAATATTCTTTATCTAAGACCAAAACCCAAATGTTCACAAATAAAATACTCTACATACTGTACAATAAGTAGATATTACTCTCATAAGTATACACACACACTATAATCCCTACTTAAATATATAAATACATTCTATCCATAAGACAACAATCTGGACCAAAGTGTGAATTCTGGCTACCTCTAATCATGTGATTGCAGATAATTTCATTTTTTTACTATTAACAGGAACACCAGTCGTTGTGGACCAACTCTAAGTGGGCTGGAGTAGAAGAGTGCTATGTACTGGTTTCCACAGCCAAGGAAATTAACATGACTTACACGGGCTCCTCTCCGTAGACCTGAACCTCTGACCTTTCAGTCCACACTGAGCATCTGAGCATTCTGCACTGCCCAGCCACTCCTTTGTCAGCTACACCTTAAGCTATAAAATTCCTTTTATTATGTTATTATAGTTAGAAAAATGATTGCCATCGAGTTGAGTATGACTCATAATGACTCTATGAAGAAAAGACCCTTTCTATAACTATCGTCATTTCTCCAAGTTCATAGAGTTTCTAGAGGCATGCGGTTGAGGAAGTGAATGCCACTCCTGCTTCCAAACCTGTTTAACAACTGGGATCTCCACCAAAACTGTCCACAACTGCTCAGATTAGCTAACCTTAATGCACTCGTACAATAACCATTTCTCAGAGATTTGGGTATTTTTCTTTACAAGGCTGAGACTGCCTACCCATTTAAGGTCTATCATGTTCTTCAATGGAGAACACTGCTTAACTTTTCTAGTCTTTGCACTTCCACACATTCTTAACACAGGACATGTTTCACATGCCATGGATTCCAGACCCAGGAAGGATACTGGAGGTTAGACTGACTCCTTAGCAGTTTCCATCCTCACCCCCTCCTGGCACTAATGCTCTCAGAGCTGTCTCAATGAATCCTAAACCTGATTTTCTCCTGGAAAAAGGCTTTTTTCTCAGTGATTTGGCCAAGGATACGTAGACCTAATCACTCTTCTCTTCCTTCCTCTCTGTTTCGCTATACTTCTCTTAGGAGTTCAGGAATAGAGCAGTGAGAGGTAAATGGATGGTACAACCAGGACTCACCCAGCATGCTGCCTCTACTTTGTGTGGTCTACTTGCCCAAAGAGTAATGCAATTACTAAGGAATGGAGACATGCAAGTATGCACTCCCCTTTTCTAAGCTGCCTAGGAGCTATGCTCAGTAAATGCTGATGCAGATTGCCTCTAGGTAGTAGATTTGGGGGTGACATTTATTAATCTTTGTGCATTTCCATTTTGATTAAATAATTGAATGGATATGTATTATTTTTTTCTCCAAAAAGAATTACTGAGAAAAGAACATGTTTTTAATTCTACAATGTAGAAGAAAAATACTTAAAACTTACAGCTAATTCAACCCTGGTTAATGATTTAGCGTCTAGTTTCTCTATTAAAACTTTTCCTTTTATATTTCACTTTGCTTCATACTTAGTGGTAGTTTGCAGTGTCCCATAGAAAAATGAAGAACATGGTACCGAATGTGTTATAAAATCAGTGATAGGACAGGGGGTGACAGCAGTAGTAATAGAAAGCTGGCAACAACATCAAAATTACCCTGGCCCTATTAAAAAAGCCAGAACTGGCACACAATAATGGAATCATAAATATGTCAAGTTGGTTTGTGATCTAAGTGCATGATCACACGCAATATATCCTTTTCTGTAGCTTTCAGAAATAATTAACTTGTCTGGATCCACATGCCTGAAGCTACAGTGCTGCTGGTTAGAAAGAGTTTAAGGCGAACTCTGGTGGCCTAGTGGCAAGAAGCTGCAACTACAGTCTCAGAGGTGCATGGTTCAAATCCACCAGATGCTCTGCTGGAGAAGGAGGAACAATCTCCTCCTGTACCAGTCAGATCTGATTTGACGGTACACACAAAAAATAATGAAATAAAAATAAATTAAAAAAAGAAAGAGTTTAAAATGAGACATTCATTTTGGAAAATTACTTGGCAGTATTTGGTAGAGATGGAGATTCACTTTTAGCTATTCACTGACCAGAACTCATACAAGCTCAAAAGTGTTCATGGAAGCACTAGGATGGAATTCCAGTTCCAGCAATGATAGTGGAAGGGACATACAGGCTGTTGCACATGCCATATAGTCATATGACTCAATATTGGACAGCAAGGAAAGTGAGTGGATCCCAGGGGAGCTCTGGTAGCACAGTCTGGAGAGGATTGTCCAAAGCCCAGGCCTCTCTGGTGGTTCAAATCCACCAGCAGCTCAGGAGGAGTAAGATACGAAATCTTCTGCCATGTGATTTACAGCCTCAGAAACCAAGAGAGGAGGGTCAGTTGTGAGTCAGTCAACTTAACAGCAAATAATGTGATACCCCAAAACTTGGAGAGAAGTCACAAACACAGTGCGCAATAAAAGACACAGGCATTTGCCATTATTCCTTTAAACGAAATTCAAAAGGAGGGGAAATGGAACTGTATTATTTAGGAATGTATGTTGTTGATTGACGTTAAGTATGACTCATACCGAACCTATGAACAAAAGACTTGAAATCTTTCTATAATTGTCATTGTTTTTCAAAATTCATAGTTTCCAGAGGCATGTTGTTTAGAAAGTGGATGCTGCTCCTGCTTCCAAACGTGACTTAATCTGGGAGCTCCACTAAACACTATCCACCATGGGTAACCATTATGGCATTTAGCACCCCAATGGGTGTTCAACATCACAGCCATTCCAGGTAACCTCAGTACAGCAAATTGACAGACTAGTGCTGCACTGATGAGAAGAATGTTCCTTTAAATTATAATTACACTAGACCTGAGGGCCTAACCGACTTTTAAATGCAAAGGCCCTCCAGGAGGTGGTGTTGACTCTAGACTAGAGGCGTAAATAAAAAACAACCAAACATTCCATAGGACACTCAACCAAAATGAGAGGCCTCCTTTTACAGTCTTATTTAGCAATGTATAGAAAAGTGTAACTATTAAAAAAGAAGGAGGAAGAGGTGGGAGGAGAAGACAGAGAAGGAGGAGGGTTGGCCAGAGTGGAGGAGGGGTTAAGGGAGGAGGAGGAAGAGGAAGAGAGAAAAAAAGGAGCAGCAGCCAAGGCCAAGACATTATCATAGAAACCAGATAGCAATTGCTTCTGGGGAACAGGAGTTTCCATTCCCCTTGTGGCAGGGGAGGGCTGCTGAGGGGGCTTCAGGATGCTGGATTCCCTTGATGACCCACCCAGGTCTCTATAATTATTTTTCAGGCTGCATATTGGTGCTTCATGCATTTCTCTGTTTTATCTCATAGCAATGAACGCTAAAGAAAAAAGCAGATAAAACCTGTTTCTCCCTTTCCCCTCGGCTTTCTAACAGTGAGAGAGTCAGGGAGATATTTATAGAATATAAAATTATAAGTGAAGGGGGAAGAAAAAGAAAAAAATACTTTCCATGGGTAGAAAAGAAGTCATCAGGAAATGTTGCAACCTGCTAAAGACATTTACAGTGCTGATAAGGAGCTGGAGATGAACAATTAAAAGAACAGCTGTGCCTAGCACAGCTCGGTGATGGGAGCAGCTTCTGATGAATGATGTCCCAGGACTGGGACACTTAAACAATAAGGCTGCTCTTCATGCTCATATGGTGGACATGCTGGTAATACAGCACCAAAGATATCCTGCTTTGCCAGGACTTTCCTCAGGTAGTCTACTACTTTTTAGCAGTCTAATAGGTTAAACACCCTGTTGTTGCATGCCAAAATCAATTCCTAGCTGACCATCCTCTAGTCAAGGATATTTAGGTTATCATTATAACTTGATGGTCTTGTTTTAAAATATATTCAAGGTGCAACAATGAAGGAATGAAACCCATCTGTTCTGTAAACTTTCATTAAAATCACCAGAAAAAAGAACTGAGAAACAATGCATATATTTCTTTTCAAGGTGAGGAAGTTCTACTAGAGTACCACTATATCACAATTAAAGAAAGCTGATGTGACAATGTTGTTGTATTCAGTCGAGCTGACCCAAGTCTTAGATGACCCTCCAATAAGTTTTCAAGGGCAATAAACCACATGGGAAGAGAATGCCCATCTTTCTCCCTCAGAGCAACTGGTGGATTCGAGTCTCATACCTTTGGGTTAGTACTACAATTCCTTAGCACCAAGCCACC